CCCCAAAACCCCAAAACCCCAAAACCCCATTATAATTTTAAGAAGGAAGATCAGAAATTAAGTAAAATATTGAAATTAATAAGATTAGATAATTAGTGTAGTAATGTATATCATAGGCATCTATATCATTTAGATACTGAGTTATTCCATATTTCTAATTCCTTAACTTATCTTGAAATTTTCTTGCTTAAGTCCCTAATTGATTTTATTTCTGGTTTGGACTCAATAGTCTTCAGAAACTTAAGATAATCAATTTTGATGTTTTAGTTTTCATCTTCTTTTAAAACTGTCGTTAGGATTTAAGACCTCAGTTCTTTGTCATTCACCACGAGATTAACAATATCAACCAAGCAGGCAAGATATTCAATTTCAGGCTACTTTTATACAGTCTTCATCACTAATACCAACAGTTTTTTATTTAAAATATCACTAGCCTTGATCTTTTCATTTACTATTGAGTTTGAAATAAGTACTCTTAAAAAAGATAAGCATTGCACAACTGTCTCATAGTCATTAGTTCTTAGCAGCCCAAATATGACTGAGACAGCATCACTTTTAGCAATAACAAGTGCAAACTCAAGACTCATGATTTCTAGAAGTCTTATTCCAAACTAAGCGAAATGATCCGTATTCATGCAAAAGTCAATAATTGAGTTTAGTAATTACTTAGAGAAAACGATTTATAGTATACTTCTTAGCTGCTTGATATTCTCATATTCAAGTAAGAGCAGGTTGATCTTGTGAATCAAGGTAGCCATGTGAATGTAGTTTTCCAATGGACCTGTCTCGAGTTTCCTACATGATAAGATAACTTGCTTGTTCAAGGGAAAGATCTTATTAACCATAGCATTGGAATTTTTAATGGGAGAGGAAAGGTGGGATTTTGAGGGGGAAGCGTTAATCTATTAAACTTTCATAATTTAAATATATTATCAATGTGGATTATATTTTAGTTAATAAAATAATATATTTATCTATTAATGAAATCTGTAAGTAAGCCTTCATGAAATCAATCATTAGATTTGTCATTATAAATGTTTGAATTTTCTTAGCCTTTACAACTGCGAATCAATTAGTTCTTTATTCTATTCAAATGGTGATTTATCACTAGTATCATAATAAAAACTCGCGTATGATAATCTTTCTGAATCACTTATTTATCTTTCTATTCTATCTCTAACATTTTTTTCAGATAACTCCGGATTCCTCTTCATGACTCTTTTTACTGCATCGTGCTTATCTAAAGTGGTAACCCAGAGCTCATCAAACATAACGAACGTCTTTTGTTCTATTAGCACAGCACCTTCAACTGCAATCACATCATATTAATCCTAAAATCTATTTTCTACTTCACTTATTGACTCCTTAAGAAGTCTCTTGATCTCTGGTGATACCAAAGACTTAAGTGCATTTAAATTATACTCATTCTTGAAAGCTTACTTTCCTAGTTCCAATCTATTTATCCCTAATATATCATCTCTCATGGGCTACTGACTTTTATCATAGTTTAATACCTCTTTTCCAAACATAGTAGAGAGATTCCTTAGAACCAACGGGTTTAGTTTATATATTTCATGGCCATATACATCTAGATTGATTGTATATATCCTTGGGATTGTTGAGAGATACTCAAGCAGCTTAGATTTGCCACTACCTATACCCCCAGTTATTCCAATCTTAAATAGTTTCTTTGATGTAAGTGACATTGCTCCGAAGAATCTGAGAATATTATTCAAGTTTCTAATCAAGAGTTTTAAATTATTATTTTAAAAATTTGATAATCATTTAATACCCTCAAATTTTTATTTCTAAGCTTGCGGGGTTTTGGGGTTTTGGGGTTTTGGGGTTTTGGGG